AGATTGATAAGTATCAGTTGCTTTTTATGAGGCCTTCAAAAATATCTTTTGTGCCTCTAGATTCTATGTGGCAAGAATTTCCCTGCAACAACGGTAGCCAAAGTCTGTGTGATTTATAGAGGGCAGGGCTGGCCCAGTTCAGTCCTTATTGTTTGCTGAAATACTCTCCAAGTCTTAGTTATTCCTTTATTTATTTATTTATTTATTAAATTGAATTGAACTGATTGTACTATGAACAGGATTAGTTTTCACACTTGCATGCTGAATGTTGGATTATTCTGTTTACAAAATAAATGAAACAAACACCAAACTTCAGTACTGTCTGTACTCAGACTCCCTTTACATATCAGTGGGACTCAAATTAAGCCCTGATTAACATCAAGTAACAAAGACGTGCAAACATTCAAAACATCCAAAAGACCACAAAATGCTTTTCCATGGAATATTGTGTGTGTGTGTGCATATGAATATATATATAAAGTCATACACAATTGTAGCACCTCTTTGAATTAGTGTATGTGAATGTGCAAGAGAGAGCTTGTTACATTTTCATGGCCAAGAGGTGTTAGATGTGTGTGTGAAGACTGCACATATAAGCTACATGCATTGATGCAAAGTAATTTATACTGGGAGAATGGAGAATGGTACTGTGTGAGATGATGCAAACTTCCCTCTCCCATGCTATGTGCAAAAAACATCCAATCATGAATTGGAGGATGAAATCATATGCAAATTATGGCAGAGGAAGGGTTAGGACTGGGGAAGAAAGAATACCTATATTATACCTTAGCTGATAATGTAATTTGCTGAATCAAGAATTTCCCTTTTTACTAGAAACCCAGTGTGATTTGAGGAATGCCTCCCACCAAAGAAGTCTGGTCAGCACAAGTTCTCCCCCAAAACTGTTCTCCCTTAAAAACCCTTCTTTTACCCAGCTGCTGATTTTCTCCCACCCGTTCAAAATTTCTCTTCCTCTTCCATTAACCTGCCCTTCTTCCCCCAAACTCTGTCAGTTCTTCCTGCTCACCCATTTATTACAAACACTTCTTTTGCCTCTAGGTGGTTTGATCTTTGCACAAATCGCATATTTCTTTGCTTTTCTGAAAAGGTCCTTCCCTTCCTTGCTCTTCTGGGTTCTACGTATATGAAACATGATGGTTGTATGTGCAAGGTTTTTGAGAATGGGATTAGAGCAACACAGTAGGAGGAACGTTGAACAAAAAGAGTTAGGAATGAAATATAGTACCCTTAATAGGGGAGGGAACCAACTGCCTTTAATGTGCCAAGTAATGATTACATGATACTTTTTAGAACAAAGAAATGAGGTGTTTTTTGGTATTGTAGATGACTTTTTTTTATTCATCTGCAGTAAAGAAAGATACTCTTTTTGTACTGTGGATGAGGAGGAAGGGGGCTGTAAGACAGAGGAGGACAATCTTTTTGTGGCCACAGGCTATGCTTCTAAATAGCATTTTAAAATAATTGCGATCCAGAATCACAGGAGGCATGGCGGTGATGCAATGACATCAATGGAGGGAATGACATTTTTGTCCCCTTTTCTTTTTGTTGTTTTGTATGCTTAAAAGCAAAATAGGTGTGTTAAGCCTAGTGGAATTCCCTGAATAGCCTGATTTTAATGGGAAAACGTGGACAATTGCATCACTGAAAACCAGCAACTTGCTACCATAGCATAGTAGTAGATGGGCTCTGAGCCCAAAAAAATGAGGACAGGGAACTGCATCAGTTTGCAAGCATCCTTGTAGTGGAGAGATTAGCACTATGATAAACTCTTTAATAATGTTTCTTTCTCTACCTGTCTTTGAAGGTTGAACAGCATGACTCTTAATTTTTCTTTTTTTTTAAATACGCAACTTATAAACAAGTATGCTTGAAAAAAAATCTGTCTGAAAGAGGGTTGCAGTGTTTGTTTTTCATGTCATTGGCTTTTGTTTTATAAGCCTTACAATAGTATTTGTTAATGGGCGACTGTTTATATTTAATGAATGAACGAATGAGAAGAATTAGGATGCAGATGGGTGGGAACTGGGCTTCTTGTATCCTTTTCAAAGCTCCTTTAGCTGATAATGTTTTTCTCCAAACCAGAATAAAAATAGTTAACAAAATCTCCACCACTGCTGAATTAACAAAGAATGTTTTCAAAATGCGCTTTTATGAATTTAGAATAATGGATTGAAATCACCTAAACTGGAAAATGCACACAAATTAATAATGATATATATTTTGCTTTGCTGGGGCATTTTCCAAGTATTACTCATAA